TGGTGGTGGTGGTGGTGGTGGTGGTGGGGATTGTTGTGACGATGATTATTCGGGTGTCCGTCGTCTTAATTACGTTGCCCAGCATCGGAATCATCTTCCACCTTATTCATTCATTCTGTCATCATTGTCTTGGCGATTATTTATGAGAAACAGCAAGAAGTCGCCCGCGAATTCATTATCGCTCCGGATCCGTACTAGACGCGAACAAGTCTCAAGATCTTACTTTGGCTGCAATATCACCTGGCAGTTGAGGGACTCGTCACTATCGCTCGCAATCCAATAACAGGACTGCAAATACCCCTCTGGTTATGTCCTCGGTGAGAAATTTCTGTAATAGTTGCAATAAGGCAGGTGCTGTACGCCAAGCGTATGCCCAAGGATCCCGGCTGGTTCCAGATAACACCACAATTATAATTTGCTGGAGATGTGTTCGTTCGGCGCCTTAAAAATTGTACTTTCAAAAGCATGGTGATTCGTCTCTCAATAGGCCTTCGGTCGCGGCCATTCATTTACCTGCCTTTTTTTCTCTCTTCGCGTCATTAGCGAGCTCCGAGGACGATTTGCTTTGAGGGTGTCTGTTACGCGTGTCAGAGCTCGAGTGCAGGGGGTTAGCCAGAGACGTGGAAGGCGTTAAAGTTAGGACTATATTTTGCCAAAAGCAATTACCTTTATCAAAATGATTCTGGTGACTGTTTTGGGGAAAGTGAAGTGCTCATTTTAGTGCCTGTTCTGCGCCAGTTCAATGCAAATGAAAAATCGCAATCTATACAAGTTCTAAAAAGTACACTACTTGTCGTTTGTAAGTAGTTATACTTTGTGGACTTAAATATTGCCGTGCCCTTACCATCGAGGTGTCCGTGCTGGCCCGGGTTCGGCCACTGATGTCCTCAAACATTTTACTCTGATTCATGTAGATACCCACACTGGCCGTTGGTGAGGACGCTTTAGTAGAACAAACGAGGGCTTGGGCAGTCTCCAGTAACCGCTGTCCCTGCTGGTGAGGAAGGTGTCCCGGGGACGCCTGATTTACGTCAGAAGGCAGGAATACGTCTGACTGGTATGCACCGACAGACTTTTGGGTCTGTGGACGGAAACTGAGAGGCCCAGAAGAGACGGCAATTGAGGCGGAGGAGGTGGTGGAGGAGGAACTCGTCTGGAAGGTCGAATGTGCCTGCTGCTGCTGCTGCTGCAGAAGCACCGGGTGAGAGTAGGAGGAAGTGGATGATGATGACGACGACGATGATGATGCTGATCCCAGAGGTGGCGCCAACTCGCCCCCACCGTTGGCAGGACTGAAGAGATTGCGAACATGATGTGAGACTTCCGCGACCTCAGGTCCGACTGGGTGTGGGAGACCGTCAAAGAGCTGGGACTGACCCAAAGGAGGCAAACGCAGCTGAGGATATGTCAATCGTCGGCTCTGCTGCTGCTGGTGGTGCTGCTGCTGCTGCTGTTGCTGCTGCTGACTGAGTCCCACAGGGTAACTGAAGGCCTGTTCCCCGCCGGCGAGGTAGTTGTGATGGTGATTCTGAGGCAGACTGCCGTCCGCGACCATCTTGTGTCCAGCAAAGGGGGACGAGAAGCTGTTCCGAAGGGGGGCAATACCGGCCTGTAGGAAGTTCAAGCTGGGGTCATCCAGTTTGCCATGCGGATCTAGTGAGATGCCCGTGCCGTTGACGTGAGAAGCAAGCATATCTAGCGCTCCCTGCTGGGAGACCTCTCCACCACCACCACCACCGCCCCCGCCCATCAAACTTCCCAGGGTGGAGTTCAGCGAGGCCGTGGAGTTGGGTTGTGAATCAGTCGAACAGCTGGCGCTCATGAAAGGGTTGAGCGTCTGGTAGCCCGACGATGTCTGCATCTCTCGACTGAAGGCAGGTGCAAAGAGGACGTTGTCAGTGCACAAACTACAGCAGTTTATGCTACTTTTAAAAAATTAACCGAAATCTTAATAGCGAGTAGTATGTCGTGAATTGGGTGTCGTAAATTTGTGTATTTAAATTGATTCGAAGCGCAGAAGAAAAATTCTCTTCAACTCTATTTTACGAGCGGAAAACAAGGCAGTCGTGGGCAAACTCCGGTTCTTCTCGATCTTCAAGAAAATTTCTACGCTCTGGGCTAGCACAGGCCAAGAACCCTAGTTTGGGTGAGTCTCGTTGCAAGAGCGTAAATAAAGATAAAAACCAGTCGCACTGTTTTCAGGATTCAGCTTTAGGCATTCTCATATGCGCATCGGTTGTGTTCTTTGCCGAAAAGCCTCTTCGACAGCACTTTGTTTTTCTACACTATTAAGTAAAAGGTGTAAACAAATATGTAAGGAGTTCCCGCGATATGTTACACAGCATAATGAAAATGTCAAGGCAATTTTTGTCTGTAGTCGACAATGAACAGATGCGGGACTTAGCAGCCGAAGGGCAATGAAGAACCTTTCGGTGCGAGGAGGGCTTGATTTTGCACTTACTAGTCACATTGACCAAACCCCTTTGGACAGCGTAACTGTTTCTCTGTCCGACGGATTTATTAGCATGTTACACGAGAAAGGACAGTCAATAAAGTACTGATACGTTGTGTTTGTTGTCATTTTCCTCTATCTTCTCATTTCGATGCACCTCTATTGTAATGCGTCCCCAATATTTCCTCTGCAGTACTGGGCTTGTGATAAGAGTCATTATATGTTCGCCTCAACGCAACTTTGCCCAGGAGTGGCTATCCAACACGTTTCATCCAAAATTACGGCAACCCCTCACGGTCCAAAACTGACGGAACAATCTGTTCCGAAAAAGTCCGTTGCAATATTCTTTACTCTTTAAGGGTAACAACGCTTCACATACCATCAAACGACAGTTATGTTGCCTCACTGAAGGGGAATGCAACGCGGCCGAACCCCTATTCAGCATTCCTACCAAAACAATTTCAATTTTACGGGCGAAGGATGCCTTACCGTTGCAGGCCGTCTCAAACTATGTTCGTGAATTCATGTGTACTTTTGGATGCAAGTAGATTGGATGAATGGAAGGGCAAGTGGCAAGATCTTACTTCGTAGCCGTACCTGTAATGGATTAGGATGAGGGGTCAGGGTTAGGGGCTGTGGTTGGGGGTAAGGGTTGAGGGTTAGAGGTTGGAGTTAGGCTGGGCTTGTCAACTGCAGGTACGGCTACGAACTGAGATCCGACCGAAAAACCAATAAAAACGACAACTAAAAATGACATTTAGGAAAAAGAAAAGGCTGTGTAAATCGAGGGACCGGTCTAGCTGTTTGAATAGGTCGGGTTTCTCTCGCCTTCTGTAGGCTGCTTCCAGGTAGTGCAACGTCTAAGATGTTAGTGCCCGAATGTGTACTCGGAAGGAGGTTTCGGGGTCAATGGAATGACCGTCATCCAGGAGGTGTTTCGTGATAGAAGAACGAGGGATTCTATTTTCCTGCTTTAAAAGCATTAACCCCTAACCCTAACCCCTAACTCCAACCTCTAACCCCTAATCCCACCCCCAACCTCCAACCCCTAACCATAAACCCTAATCCTAACCCCTTACAGGTACGGCTACAAAGTAAGATCTTGCCGATTCTTCCGTGTGCACTTAACAATGCCCCTACTGTTTTGCATTGATTTTCCGTGCAAATTCAAACTTTTGCATGTCTTTTTATTCACTATCTATGTTAAGCAGCAATGGGTTGCAGTTGGTTAGGTATCGCGAAATTTGTTGACACCGATGGCTTCTGCTATATATGCCTTTTTAGATAATGAAGAATCGTTTATAAACTAAACTCTGTCTTCTTTTGAAGGACACGGACTGGGTGGACTTGCGTTACAGGGGGACTTTCGTGCGGACTTCACTACATTTCTCCACCCACTGTATGAGGGAATGGCAAAATACAGTGGGCGAGTAGACTTACATCAGAGAAGCTGCCTTTCCCTCGACGCTTTGAATAAACTGTATGAAACTCTCCTCATACACCGATGACTGCTTGTTCTCAATCACGAAACAACTCTCATCGGATATCAGTTTCTGATCCTGATCGTGAGAATCGCGGGAGAAGAAGCCCCCGGTGACTGATTGAAGATCCTTTGCTGCATAGAAGGTCTTCAGCAGAGCCGATCTCATCTGACGCAGAGTTGAGGCCCCGCCCGGCAGGTAGGCTGGCATCAGAATCACGTGGAAGGTCTCGCCGTTTAGTTGAATCAGGTTTTGTCTGTCGTCAAAGGAGCGAAGATCGTCCGCCATAGCGAAGTCGCTGTCCAGTCTAAGTCCACTCAGCTGGTCACGGTATGCTGGTAGCTTGGCTGAGTAGGTAGGGCTTACACGGTCGTTGCAGCTCTCGCTGTAACCCTTGCTCCTCGATAATATGCCGTTCGAAGAGGTGTTTCGCGAACCACGTGAAGCGCGTTCGCCACCTGGGTAGACAAAGAATTATATTCATCCATCACTATCAGGATAGCGATTCCTGACTGATCTCACTTATCTCTCATCGTTAGCCTGAATGCTTGGAAATTAAAAGCACAGTGTGTGACCTAACTGACGATACGTGATAACGAAAGTAAGATGATCATTTTAGGCACCTCAAACCTTGCGCATGTTGTTTATCAGAAAAACTGTCCTTTTCGTGCAGAATATGCATCTGAATAATTTTATAAGGTAAAATGTCTATAAATTCGAGCGGAAATCTACGTTACTTTCTATTCGGGCAATTTTCCTTGTTACTAACTGTCCTAGACTTAGTTTGCACATCTGAGCGTGTTTGAGAGCAGAATAATTGAACGTCGTGAGTTTTACCACGCTTGCTGAACTTCACAATCGGTTTTTGTCCTACCTAAGTCAGGTTTAAGCAGAATGTAAAATACCGGTTATTTTAAGAAAGCCAGACAAGTTTTCGATTTTAAAAAGTCAAGTATGTAAATCTATGTGGTATCAGATCCTAAAATATAATAACGACGCCTACAGACCATCCTTTGTTTAAACATACCGACACTGTCCTGCCATTTCAGAATACACTATGAGCAACCGTTAAAGTGGCCACTATCGAATGGTATGGTTTTTGCTTATATTTGATTTAGAAACGGAACAGGTAGGGCCTCGACAGTTTAAACAATATGTTACTACTTATATGGCCAGCGTTTTCTGCATTCATAATCATATAACATCACCTAAAAGTAAATAACGATAGCAAGAATGGCTCTCTCCTCTGCAGCAGAGCAAGTTCCGTTATTTCCCAAGTGGGAAAGTCGGTCAAAACTCACCTTTTTCCAGACTTTACCTATGGAAAGGACAAAGTATGTGGACATCCTTCAGAGGAATATCGTGTTAAAGTACTTTTTAAAGTAGCTTATTATGGATTTTCTCATCGACCAACGACACATTCGTTGCTGGCTTTCACTTTCGACGTTCACTTTTCTGACGACGAGGTTTCATATTTGGACGAGTCATCAGCTGTGATCAAAACGGCCATGTACCGTAAAAGGCATGTTAAAGAGCTCACTAATTCGGTAAGTACTTTCAAGAAATATCTTATTTCGGAGGGTTTGTGGATACAAACTACAGAACCCATCTTTTCGGTCAGTCGATTGAGAACTCTGAAAGCCGCAAAATACTCGCTGATATTCCAAGTACACTCTGAAACTCAACGGCCTCCGCCGTCTCCAAAAATACACGTAATTTATACGGAAGAAAAGCCCTTTTTGATGCACAGAAAATGGTATGCTTACGGTTTCATCTGTTATTTCTATTAAAATTCACCGTTCACTGATCGGCCAGTCAACATGTGACTTTATGAAAACTCATATTCTCTGTCAGGGAAATCAAGCGAAATCCTTTTTTTCTAATCAACCTTATCTATAACAAAAATAAAATGGAAAAATTACATCGATTTCGCGCAGCAAGATTATTGAATACATGACCGGACATTGCGCACTTAATGCCAGGTTTCTTACAACGCCAATTCTTGGAGAATATTTAATTTAAATGTATGTGAGAAGTAATGTTTAAGCGTTGTTCTGCTTACGTCGTTTTAGTTTGTTAGTTACTTGCATGGGCGAGCAGTGCATGCTTTTAAAATGTTATTCTACTCATTTGACACGAATTTTCGCGTTTTCCACTTTGGCAACGATAGGGTGTAGGACCCCCAAGTAGATGGCAACTCCAAAAATATGCCCTAAAATTCAGTGTAACTTTAAACATCACTTATTATTCACCGTTCCCATTGTTTGAAATTCCCCCTCCCCCTATTCCTGACTTAATATAAGCTTGCTAGCGGCGCTTTATTCAAAGCCCGTTATTTTTTGAAAATTGCTTTTTGTTTATTTCTTAATTATCACGCTCACTTTCCTTGCCAAATGACAGCGTACGATAAGACTTTCGCCAGAAATCGGTCTATTTTCCGTGTCTCTTTGCTCTCCGTCCTGTTCGTTGTCCCACCCGTAAAACCCCCTCTAGCAGCATTCAACGTATGACGCAGTCCACAGGCCAGCTCAGTTTAGTTGTTGGTCGTAGACACCACCTACACCCTATCGTTGCCTCCATTCTTCTTAAGAACATTGTTATTTCCAATCAGCGGATTCGTGTTTCAAATATTTATTTTGCCTATTCACCTAGTTGGAAATCATCCATTACTAGTCTAGTCTAGTTCCAGATTGCCCCGTGATTCTTTGTTGATTTGGGTAAATTTCATTGACCATCACTCGTCCACTTCACGGGACTCAAATGCATCGAACACCCACCTCCGTCCCGACGTCGTTTTGAAGATGGAATCTGGCCGGTACCATTGAGTCCAGCCTCGACCATGTCCTGAGCAATGCGTCGTTCATTGTTGTCCTTGTCACGTTTGGGGCAGGCGCAACTGCGGAACTTCAAGCACTGTCGACCCAGTACTTCGCATGGTCCATGCATGGGACTTCCACTTTAAAATAGAAAAAAAACCAAGTAGGAAAAGCCATTCTACTGGCACAGTGGGGGGGGATGTCAAAGAGAGCGTGGTTAGTTAGGTAGGTATTTGAAAACGTGACTTCAATGTTGGAACTTCTTTCACACTTCAGTTTACGGCACATGCTCATTCCGTTGTGCCCGACATTTCGGCTCTCACGAACCACGATGTGCTCCCCAGCATGTTGGGCGCAAGGACGGTGATCTGCGCGTGAACTACAGTAGATGGGTTTATTCATGAAATGTCAACCGGAATTTCGGAATGCATTTTCGTTTTAAAAAGGTTGACTAAGTAGAAATGTAAAGCTAATCATCATGGAGCATAATTCTATAATAATTCGGTCACCTCAGAGTGTCGGCTTTCGAATTAATGTCTTTCCGACTGCATGCAAAAATCATACTCTGTAAAAAAAATGCCTACTTAAGTAGCATGCATTTTTCTCATTGATTTGTTATGCCTCTGAAAGTCCAATTATGGTTCATGGAAAAAATCACAAAAATATTCA